TCAATTTAAGCACCTGAATGACACTCCCTGATCGGGGGTTGAACTGACGCAGTGGTGTTGAGTGGCTGGAACTACCTTTGACGTTAAGTAGCTGAAAGTTCGGATGGCAAGTGGCATTGTCAACTAACAGTATGATGTTGCGTTAAATTTCTGCATTTTTCTGTCAACCCTTTGAAGCCAATCTTTGAAAATGACTGCAGTCATCCATGTCTTTTTATTATTCTCGCAAACTACCGGTGGTTTTTCATGTTGGTGTTTCTAAATTTTCGATGGTTGGTTGATTCCCAGATCACTGAAACCGGTTATCGATCCGCCAACATGTTATTGCAGAGCATCGCTAAGTCGGCACGCTGCGTCTTGAAGTTACGAAACACAAACAAAAGCGTGCCGTGCTACTCGTCAGGCTATTTGGTAACAATAGTATAAAAGCTGGGCCCGATACTAAAAAGCTAAGAGATCCGCGTAAAGGCAAGGCAGGGTTGGCAAGTCCAGCGTCCAGATTAGTTGTACCTCACATGCGGGTTCACACAGCGGTAACAAGTATCATGTAAGTCGGCCGTCAAATGAGGAAAGTAAATCTAAATGCGCCACCAGTGACCGTTGCGGGCCAGGTCCTCTGATTCATCGGGGTGTCGCTGGCGCCAAATTGGGAAATGAGCCAGAGAGGTGGTTGCTAATTACGAGCATTAGGTATGCAAGACAAGGCGCCAGTAGTCCACAAATTTCCTCGTCCTGATGCTTCGCTGTCACTCAAGCGCAACCGGTTGTAGGCCGTATGAGGTACTGCAAGACGGAAGAATCGAAGTCGGAGGTGCGAAGGATACCACCGCACTACGAATCGATACATAGGTAAGTGGTGAGTGTGTATACATAGCACACGCTTTGATAAGCACACCTTACTCGATTTTATTTGCCGAACAAATGGACTGAACTGGCGATCGCGCTCCAGTAACCTTCTGCGCGCCCCGTCGACGCAGACTTAAAGGAGCAAACTGATAAAAAAGCCCATGGAGGACAATGATGAAAGACACGAAGGCGTTTAATATATCTAAACCGAAGACACTAGACATAAGTTATGTGGAGACCGTGGTCTTGTATACATGACATGTGGAAGGAAGTGAAATCACCCTTTAGAACAAGACGCACCGCGGATTCCTAAATGCAATGCCATTTTCTATGAAACGCACGTCCATCGCCGTATCACCTGTGGTGATTGTGGGAACTAAACGTCATGGTCAAATAAAAGGTTTATCATTGTGTAGAAGAGCCAGCAGTATCATTGAATGGATCAGGCACTTGGCGATGTGCAATGAGGGCAGTAAAAGAATGATGGTGTTTGTCCACCTGGTGAGAGAACCTAAATTTGGTAGCTGGCGTTTGGGTACAGACCCTCTGGCGCCACACTGGAGGGCTGTTGAATCGCCTTCGCTATGTCGGTCACGTGCCGCGCATGCGCGCAAATCGGCTAAGTCGGCGTGTAGTGTAGTTACTGCGTGTAGTTTGGTGAAGCAACCGAGCTGGCCGGCAGTGGCATGGCAAAGGGCATGCAGAAGTTCACTGAAGGGTTGCACCAGGTAGGTTCGTGTGGTAGTCCCCAATAGGGTCTCAGGGATCATCCACCTCAGTGGTTGCGCATCATATTAAAGATATCGCGGTCACCAAGTCAGCACCCTTGTCGCATTTATGTACTCAGTTCTGAAACTAGACCATACCATTTGATAAAGTAAATTGCTGTTTGGAGGTATGATTTTAAAGCCCCCATCGAGTGAATAGACAGGGATGCGAAAAAAATGGACTGTGATGTGTACAGAAGCGGACATCTTGGTCAATCCCATCAAAGGGGCCGTAAATGATAACAACGAGTAGCGGCGGGGAACGCTTGACATAACCAGATGAGAACAACCAGGTCCGAAATCGGTCGTCAAATGCAGTGTTTTCGCGCTATGATGCGCGCCTTGTTTTTTCCACCTGCACATGTCCGTCTTTTGCGAAGATTAATCTGACGTCGCTTTGAGGTTTGTTGCCTGATTATGTTTCGAGCAATTTTTCTTTCCGTTTGTATTCCGCGTACATATCTGAGTCACCGCTTTCGTCTGATTGCTTACCAAACAGGAGGTTGTGGTTACTGATGTATACCTGTAGCGAACCGTTTTGTGCTTAAAAAGTCTAAGTTTTGCAATTCTTTTGAGAAGTGCACTGCTCTTTCTTTAATCATGGGTCCGATAGTGGGATTTTTCTCTCCAGTACTGACTGACACCATTCTCCGCACAGTGCGTTTATGTCTTGTTATGCGTTTTCTACTATTTTTCTTTTCCGTCTTGGTGCGTTGTTCTCAAAGTCATTCGAAAACTTAGCTTCCTTCTTTAATGTTATTATGATTTGTGTCCTTCCTACTCCGATATATTCCGCCACTTTTCGCGAACTTTTTCATTCTTGACTTTCTCGAATCACTGATATTCTTTCTTCAAATGTCAATACCTTTGGCTTTGCTGATCTGGATCTAAGCATTGTGTTCTGTGTAAGAAGCTTCAAAAACTCTGAGAACGAACAGGAATATTCAGTAAGGATGTACCTCAACAGTTCCCACTCAGCGCTGACACCCGACTGGTTACACAGCAAACAAATACGCAGAAAGTGGTAGTCACAAGATTTGCAACTGTACATCAGTATTACAAAACCCAGAGTGTTTGAGGGGAGTCCCACAGCTTTTTTGTTGGGTAACATGACTCTATACGATTGGTTAACTGCATAGCCCATAGCGAGATACATGCGTTTGTTACCTAAGGTGATATCCAGGGGAGGTAGTGTGTTGGTAGACAAGTCTGGTGTGAAGGCAGTGTGACCTTTGGGGTGGGTATAAGCCATTGGCATTGGGAGGGGGGAGTTACGCAACATGAACTGGTTAATTGCGACAGCAGGGATATGAACAACATATGGGGAATCGAATAAGGTGTCACAGAATGTTTGAATCTGGGCGATAATGAATCAGTGCGCGGCATATGGTGTGGTTTCTGGTGCAATTTTGACACCTTGATACGAAATTTAAGCTATCTGTGCGATACCGTGGCTATCTTTCATGACATCTCTACTCATAATCTCGATCAGTCATGCTAGTGTTGGTCGCCTTAAGCAGGTACTAGCATGTCTGGGCACTAAAACAGCGTGGTCGCGGTTGCGTTAGACAGATGGACGCCATAGGTTAAGATCAATGAGAAAGTATAGGAAAATCCTTGGAGGTATTTTTGACTGGTCCCCATGGGCAGGTGGTCGTCATGACACGTTGAACTCTACAAGCACCGTTTGTCCCCCACGCGATTTCGATTCTTTGAATGAGCCAGCCGATTTAACAACACACATCTGGCTGTTCATTGGGATCCAATCGATCAGAGAAGCTTCAGCCCGGGGGCTAAGAGCAATGCTGACTCCAGCTTCACCGGCATTTGAAGCTGCGTCATCTCTGGGCAATGAGCAAATACCGCCAGCGTCGCTCGTTGGGGATCGCAGCGTAATGTGAGGACTGGAATCTTGCAGGCGAATTTCTGATAAGCAGCAGATTTCTATCGATATGGTTCCCAGTGTTCGGAAATTGATGCATGTTGGCACTTTGCTACAAAGTGCGCACAATGAAGCATGCCAGTCTTAGGTAGAATTGAGGACACTGCATAGAAACAGCTGAACTGATGTTGTCCATTAGGCTGGACATGAACTTGTCGACTGGACCGGAGCGACGCCTTGTAATTTCGTGTGTTGAAACCAGGAGACAAATGCCTACTGAAGCAACATGCACGAAGATAAAAGTTAAATTGGAGTTGGACGATGCGGATGAATAAGTGCAAGTTGGGCAATAATCAGACGGGATGGCGTGAGCAGTAGCATCCTCACCCCTATCCACTCTGCTCGATGCAGTAGATAGGACGCTGTTACTTAATTTTTGTGATGGCTAGAGCATCAGGGATTTGTTTGAGGAGGTATTCATTGTATTACGTGGGCAGGAGACTGTCAGGTAGCCCAGGCCAAGACAGAAGAACGATTAAAGTTCTCAGCTAAAGCGTTTGGTTCAAAACCTGACCTCAAGGCAGTGGGGGCTTGGCACTGGGCTACACAGAGTCCGTTTTATGTAGTTAGGAGCCACCTTAAACTCCAACCCCTTACTTGGACGGCTAGGAGACTGGATTTGTCTTGCCTCTAACCATTGACCAATCTAGTATGAGGGGCTCTGAATGTGCAAAAGCACCACCCAGCACTGCACAATGAATTGCTAGGAAACGCAAACCATGGCACCATGTTAAGGTCTAGCCTCGTCACAATCGGCACTCCTTTCAACACTTCCCTGTCTTCATTAGACTTGTGCGGCCTGTTTTCTTCCCCTCCCTTATGAGAGCTACGTTACCCGTCATATTTCCACAATGGTAACTCAGCTCCACGTCAACAAACTTAGTATGTTCTCCGACCCACTGCATCCAATACGTTGGTTTGCTCATATCATCGTGCACTCACCTGCAGGCGAAGTGACGTTACCTCACTGCCTTTAGCAGTCTAGTCAATGCGGTCTTACACAGTGGGCAGGTGAAGTTGCGGGCGAAACTCGTGTCAGGTCGACTGCTCTGTGCGTGCTGGTAGGGCACACAGAGAATTGACCTCTTCCAATCTGTGATGTTGTTCTGTCAAAATGTTTTGCCGCTTTCTCCGGAATCAGTTAACTTGCGCAAGCAGTACTCCTTTCCGATTTAGTGGTTGTGGACGCTCTGCATTCAGACCGTTTGACATTTTTACAGTTTATTTGCGTAGATTTGATTTTCCGCTCTCACCGCTTTCTTAGAATCGCGAACCAATACGTCGATGCACTGACATGATCACCATATGTGTCCCACGTCTGTGCACAGGCCTTTAACCACAGACCTCTCATTTGTACTCTCTCTCTCTCTCTCTCTCTCTCTCTCTCTCTCTCTCTCTCTCTCTGATCCATTCCAACGTTTATTCTTGTCCCTTCCCCTCCCTAGCTTGCCGCTGTATCCACTGAACACGCGCAGATCGAGCAACAGTTACAGGAAGCATTGGATGAAGTCTCGTGAGTAACGGGATTTTTCTCTCTCCATTTCCTTTTGTAGATGGCTTCAACAATAAATAGGCTTGTTTTCTGCATAATCGAATGCGCATCAGTTCACTTCGGGTTATCAGCTAAGTTCTTTTCACCCCACGACATTAACCCGCGTCAGTAATGGGGTGATTGCTATGGAAGAATGAACACAAAACGAAACCACTTGAAAGAATAGCTATATATGTGAAAAAGCAAGGGGTATAATTTAGCAACAAAACTACAGAACACTACCTGTTACTCTTCCTATTTGACAACTACGTTCGCTTCCAACCTAGTTCGCTGTTGTGTTGACACACAGCTGCAAACGATACGGCTAGCGTTCAAAAGCAATTCTGGGGATCATGTTTTGCAAGACTGTCGAGATTCTCCTCCGTTTTTGATTATACATCTTCTGCTGACAAAAATTGACTCTTGGGCTTCGACTTGATATCTGGGATGAAATGGAAGTCGCAGGGAACAGTCTGACAAATAGGTGACTAAGTACTGTGACGCTTTTATTGGTTAAAAATAGCTTTACAGATAAAGGGTTGGGGGTTGTCTCGGTGTAAAATCAACTCGTTTTTCCATTATTCCTGGTTGCGCATGCCAGGACACCGACTCCGGCATCCTGTGTTGTTTGCGCGCCGGGGGTGTGGATGGACAAGGAGGAGGGGAGGTCAAGCGATGACTTGGTCAAGAGGAATGAAGTCGCTCACTTCGAAGTTGGCGTCGGTTGGCGTTTCTCGACTGTCTGGTTGGGGACCGAAGGATGATGAGCACGTTTAGTTGGATACACTAGATGATATGGTGAAGAGTCGAGCTCAGTGGCGTTTGTGTTGCGAGTGTCTTTGTCCCTCCCTTCCCTTTAGATTTCCCTTCCAAATACGATCTCAAACCCTATGCATAATGTGACATTTAGCCTTATATTGCCTTTTATGGCTTTTATTTTTACATGTCCTAGTGTGTAATCTTTTGTATTGCGGCACATTATCTGAGGTGTCTCTCACCCCCGGCTAACGTGCGTTGATGATGATGATGATGAATTCCGGTTGTTTCCTCCTCATGCGTTACACACTTTGTCGACTTTATTGTTATACAGCTGCTTTGCCGTCTAAACATCCAACTGCCGATCCTCTTGATTAATATCTCGCGCCTTTATGTTGTCATCATAGTAACAACCGTGTATGATCATCATACTTCACGCATTTTGTGCTTTCCTAGTATCGTTGGTGTCACTCATGGACGCGTGCATGAAATGTTCACTTTTCATCATAAGCTTCAGCATGTGACAATCGTTTCCATTAAGGACTTCTTCAACATAACTGGAAGTTGATGTCAACTCCTTGTTGACTTTTGTAGTTCTAGTTTTTTCGACCGAAGGTTAGTGCATGGATATAGTTGAGAATGCACCCAGTTGTACTGAGTGGTGCCACCGAGCTGATATTTGTAACACTGAGATAGATCAGATGATGTGCTTTAGCCGTCTGTTCATCTCTTCCCTTCCCTTGCTGATTCCTGAGGTTTAGGGTTTGTTTGGTTATGCTTGTGTCTGACCTTGTTTCCGATGAGGTGTCCAATCCCCCATGCAATGAACTCCAACGTCTCCAGCAGGGAATAGAACAGGCCCTGATCCGCAGAAACGTTGTGCCAAGGTGCGAGGAGATTGGACAACAACTCTTTAAAACACAGTAAGTATTATTTTCGTTTATCCATAATGTTCCCATGCTTCGAACGGATTCTTCATCGACGATCCGGCGAGGCTGGGGGTGTCAGCGAAACATGATATAAGGGAAGATGGGATTATCAAGAAAGCCACGTCATGATTCTCATAAGATTACAGTAGATTAGGAACGGAAGACTCCCCAGCAAACTGGGATTGCTTTGAACCACATCGACCGCCAGCACACATTAATGAACGTTATTTGTTTCATGCATAGTGCGATGTCGCAACTGTTTTGCCTGTTCATACTTCCCCTTCGAAGCATTTGATTCACAGAAGGCAAATAAGGAAGCGGCTGAGGAGGCTGACTTAATCCAACAACAACAACAGCAACAACAACAATCTGCTGTCATGTACTTCACGCAAAATGCGTGAGTGACGTGCCCCCAGCTGCCCAATTATTAGAGCGCAGTCATTCCTTCTTGGATCTCCTAACCGGATGAGTGTTTTCCCATTTGGTGCTATATCGCAGCTACCCAACAACGAATACCTCAAGATCATTTCACCTACATACAGGAAAGTGCGGAGTGTATCCAAATTAAAACAAGTATTTTGTAAAGAATTCCTTTTGGCAGAACTCTCATCAGTCTCAAACATTTACATAGAACCTATTATATGCTAAACATGCTGCATGTTGCTTAGGATGTTTAATCCAACGGTCGAGCGGATAAGTCACACTGTTACGGAAGGTGTTCGATTTACTACGAGGATACCTAGGTACATCACTTCTGCAACCAGTCAGAGGGTAACCGAGGTAACGCTCAAACGGTTACGTAACGTTAGTAGTTGACCACAATAGACGTAGGAGGCGTGCGAATTGCTTTTGCGCGGTTAGATGCAGATTGAAGCCAGTTGTTTCCGGAAGCTGCACAAGAATCGCCCAGGCATGGATAGATGATTTTGAAATCGTTGTCAGTCTGCATGACCGTACGCAATGAGGTGCGACATGGTGGAGCTTCTTTCACCTCCGTAAAACCACTTTAGGATGTGCTCACGAATCCCATAAGATTGGCACTTCGTATCGTTCATCACAGGAGCACGAGTATTGTTAATGTGCCATTGATCGAGTCAACGGAGACGGCCTGCCTGTTGTACTGCTTCTTTGATGCCCTGTGACACTGCGACTCTCTGACTACTCAATCACGCGCCCAGCCAACCGAAGGAATACAAAAGGCCAGAACTCAGTAGACAGGATAGGTCAACTCTATTTCTTGGTAACGAAGCATGCTATTTTTGAAGGTCAAGTTCACCCACTCTTCTGCGTCTGCTTTTCAGCCAGTGTAAGTGAATTCCGTTCTACGGGCTTACCATATTGACGGAATAGTTCAATTTCACTGACGCGAGCTAGTATCTGCTGTCCAATCAATTCGCACTCGATTCCAAAACTCAGCGCAAAGGTCAAAGGTCGTACCACGCCCGTACCGATGACCTTTTCATGTAACAAACAGTCTACGTGCTCCGCTAACCTCTCTGTTACTTCCCCTATCGAATTGAATATGCCAGCGTCCCATTCGGACTCAAAGTTGTTCATAGGCTTTTGTTTTGTGATCAACCTGCAGCCATGGTGGTCGTTTCCGTTTTCGGGTCGGTCTGCATTGTGCGTCATCTGCTGCTTGCATCTTATGTTGTGATCCATCTAGCCGCTCAGCTTCGTGTTCCAAACAAAACGTGTCTAGCAGGATGTCCTATGGTAAGGATGGCGGTTCTGAGGACTTTGGGTCTTGCCATGATTCGGCCTCAGCTGATTGGCGTGCCTGACCCATTTCTCATTTCCTACCATTAGCTCGTAGATGACCCAACCGTTTCTGCGGATCACTCTTCCTGTTGACCACCGCCTCGGTCCTCAGAAGTATCGTGCGTACACCATGTTCCCAAATGACGCACGCTGTCTGTCCGCTTTTCCCCGCATGATAACGAATGATTTCCTTTCCTGCTTGAAACAAGGTGCTTTGTTCTGGATACTGCCTTAGTGGCTGACTTGAGGTTCAGGGCGGCACTAGTGATTTCAACATTCTGGACCGGGTTGGAGTATTGCTTCGTGACGTCTGTTCATCTGCGTAGTCTGACTGCCATTGATTTCTACCGTCGCATCCTCAGGTCTGGTGGGCACATCAGATTTTGATTTTGTTATGATTGTGGGGACGCCTGAGAATTTTGTCACTGGCACGTTTGGAGCACGCCTACGGTAACGGCTTGGAACGCTGGCCAGTCGAACGGATTTGCGCTGACCTGATGGCGTTAGCTTAACCCGAGGGACGAGCTGGTGAGACGGAAAATTGTGCGACCGTGAGTACGTTCCTAGCCACAGGTATTCGGGTAGACGCTGAGCCCTCTTAACGGACGAGGCTACGCACACGTGAGGGGGTTACGGTAGACGCGCGCTAATGGCTTAGACGCGAACGTTGCCCGGCTATCGACGCACACAAAATCACGTGACCCGACCGACTCCCAACTAACGGCGAAGAGAAAAGCAAGTGATCCTCCGAAGGCTCTTTTACGACCAACAAAGGACGAATCACAGCCAATGCAATGGGTCATTAAGTTAGGGAAAATATCTACCACGACGGGGTGGTAGTTTGTAAACGAACATTGTCAACAGGTGCGCAATTGTACCGCGTCTCGGAGTGGCTGAAAACTGCTTCGTTGTGGGGAGGAATTGGACCACGCTTTCCATAGCCATTACCTCGGAGTTGGTGGCGCATTTTTGCGGGGATATTTGACAGGCCCGCAACAATATGGCAGTGTGGCTGAAGTGTTGCTCTTTCCTTGCTACCGAATTTGCGTCCACATTTGTACCAGCATTCAAGTTGAGCAACCTCTGGCATTCTAAAACAATCTCTCGCGATGTCAGCTTCATTTCCGGTTCCCATTCTACTTGAATGTTTAATTTGTGCGATAGCAGTTCGATCAACTGCCTCTGTGACTTTTCGAACTTCGATTGCTGCTGCTGCCGCCGCCGCTGCTGCTGCTGCAAAAGTGCCTGCAGTTGTTCTTAGCTGACTGCCATTCTGTGTTCCATTGAAACTCGTGTCGCCTCTGTTGTACTACTTCTTTGCTGCGATGTGAGACTGCGACTGTCTTACTGCTCAATCACGTGCCTAGCCATCCGAAGGAATACAAAAGGCCAGCATTCGGTAGACATGGAGAGTATATCAACAGGATAGGGTCAACTCTTTTTATTGATAACGAAACGTACTAATTTTGGAGTTCAAGTTTAACCACTCTTCTGCGTCTGCTTTTCAACCCGTGTGAGTGATATCCGTTCCACCGG